TTTTTTTTTTTTTTTGTTACTCTTGCCTTTAGATTTTCCCCAAGAACGTTGCCCTGTGGTGCTTGCACCACTTCTATACCCTGAAAAACGGGACATTCTAATGGACAGGATCCTGCCTGATTCCGGAGGGATAGCCAAAACCATGATGGAGAGTTCTCTGGCAGATTTCATGCAAGAAGTTGGCTATGGCTTTTGTACAAGGTTTGTAGGAAAATGTAGTTTTCAAGCATCTTGGGTGGTGGTGTTCTTTTAATTTCTCAAAGCAAAGGGTAAAGAACACTTAATGAGGTTCTAGTTATTTTAGTACTTTAAGTATTATGAGGTCATTTGTTTTGATTTTTGTTTTAAATTTTGTTTTCTTCTGATGTGTACAGCATGTCTGAAATTGTATGATATTTTGTCACGGTAAGAAGTGCTATGTAAAGGTATTCAAATTCCTTGTAAAGGTTTTAGAAGGATTTGACCATCACCCTTTTTTAAGTAAAAACAAAGTGGCTAGGTAGGCCCAACTTCCAATGAAATCCTACTAGTTCTCTGGAAGAAGCTTGCTTTTGTGACAGACTCCTGTTAGCTCACTGCCCACATGAAATATATTACAGAAGAACTGAAGATGATGGTCTCACTTCAAGAGAGCTGACCAGCAGCACCTTTCTGTTTGTGTTGGGTTTTGATCAGTGTGGTACACAGTATGATTGAGATTAGTTGTAGCTGTAGAATCTAATTATGATAGGGAATTGCTAGAGTGTCTTGACAGCTGCATCAGTCTTTGCCTGCTTAGGCTTATTTTGGTAAAAGTACAGCTGTCTTAAACTCGCCCTGGGTTTGTGTGCATATTTGTGGACATACATTACCCACATCTTCAGCAGTGTTCTTCTTGCTCTCTGCCCCTAATCTGAAGTGTCAGATGGGCAGCTCGGTTCACTGGACTTGCTGGAGCCCTGTGAAACGGGCTGTCATCCCTGGAGCTGTGTGTGTTTGTGGGAATGGTGTCAGCAGGACTAAACACCTTTGCTTACAGTGCCTGGCGCAAGTATTCCACTACATGGGCTATTCGTTTACGTACGTGTGTGGATTGAAATAGTACCCAAAAAGTAGAAGGAGAAGCTAGGATTTAGTCAGAAGCTGTCTGTTTAAGAGCTGACTTGAATATATTAAGGGTTTCTTTCCTGCTGTATATCTGCTATCTGCACAAATTCAGCTCAGTTGTTGAATGCAGTTTTTAAGGCTTTAGGATAGTGCTCTAATACCGGTGGTTATAACAGGAGCCTGCAAATGCGTGTCTCATTTCGATGGAGGACTTAATCTTAGCTCTCTGTATGAACCTAATGTTTTTTAAAGGAAGATTCACTTAAGCATAAGCTAAGAGAAGTAGATGATTCTGTAAAAGAAAGACTATTGACTGCTCTGGGGAGGTGATCAAATATCAGAGATAACTAGTGTGAGTTTGCACAGAATGTGACTCTGTTGGAAGACACTGGAAGTTATTTCCTTTGCTGACACGTGCCTGTTAATACAACAAGTTTTTAAAATCTATACTGATGCTGTATAAGTCTTAACTTGTTCACCTGATGATGAAATGTTCACGAAGTGGAAAAAAAATGCAAAAAAAGACCTGCAGTTCTACAAATGGAACTTAAGCATCTGCTCATTGTTTGCTCTTCTGGGTTTTTTGTTAGTGACCTCTGATCAGAGACGCCATGGCTTGCATCAGGCTAAAAGGCATAACTTTCACAACTTACCTTTTGATCAGTGCACATAGTTCAGGAATGTGCATTCCTAGAGCCTGTGTTTCGCTTCTAGCTGGCAGAAAACTTCTGTCTCTGAAGCTCTGTATCAAAGGTCAATACACGGAAGTGCTTTGAACAGCAAACAGTGCTAAAACAACCTTGTGCTTTTACTTTGTTTTTCCTGTGGAAAATCTATCACTGTCACTTAAGTAGACCTAGCTTTGAACGGAGTACGTGGCACTGTATGTTTCATGGAAATAATTGCATCGACTCTCTACTGAATTTCTCTTCTTGCTTGTCCTAGAATTTTGTTGTGGTGGATCATTTGACTAACCACTTGAGTAAATGGTCATATTTGACAATTAACAATTAGTTTCTCCCAGCAGTCTGTGCTGTCCCAAGATGTACTGACAGGTCTTGTTTCGGTCTGTCTTGACTATGTTGTGCCACAGTGAAACCTGCTTTACTAATGAGGTCTCTCTGTTTTGTTGCATGTTAGTGTTGAAGAATGTCGCAACATTATCATGCAGTTTGGTGTTCGGGAAGTTACGGCTGCCCAGGTTGCCAGAGTTTTGGGGATGATGGCTCGAACTCATTCGGGTTTGACGGATGGTATTCCACTACAAGTGAGTGGCCCGCTGGTGTGGGGATTATATATTTTAATCATCAGGAAATGAGGACTTAAAATGCTAGCCTCTAGTAGTTTAAGTATTGCTTTTATTATTCAACGCTTCTACTTCTAACTGTTCTGCCATAAATGTCTGTAATACATTCTTGGATGAAAAATTCTCAGAAGTATGCAACCGGCGTCCCTACTGCTCGGAACTTTTGCTTTCCTCCATAGTGCGGGGAGTTCTGTAGCTAGTGGCTTTTGAGACTGCTTTATTTTTAACTAGTGTTTGACTGAATCTATTTCACTTGCAGTCTATTTCGGCTCCTGGCAGTGGGATTTGGAGTGATGGGAAAGACAAAAGTGATGGAGCACAAGCCCATACCTGGAATGTGGAGGTCTTAATTGATGTCCTTAAAGAGCTGGTAAGTTTTGGGAGCATCTTGGTCCTTTCTGCGGAATATGTGAAAGAAGGGCATGTCTCAGTGTGAATTATAAAGCTTTTTAAGCTCCTAGCAGCCTAAATGGCTTTGAATCTAATTAATGTAATTGTGCTGCTGTACTTAAATGATTGGTGGTTTTTATCCTCCAGAACAGGAATATTTGGAGGAATTGTGGGAAATAAAAGCTGCCTAAATGGCGAACTTGGGTACAACTTGAGATTTATTCCACGCTGCTTCTGTGTACTTCAGCATGTGTCCTCTGAGAGTTTTTGTGTTTGAACTTATTTCTGACCGTGAAAAGTGTGCATCAGGCACCTTGTTTTGAAAAGCTTCTCACTGTAGGCATTAATGATGAAAATGAAACAGAATATTTTTGTAGCTACTTATTCCAAAACTAAATGCTTCTTGCATACGATGACACTTCAGCATAGGAGAGTTTTTCTACCACTTTATAAGCAGCAATTCTTGTAATTGAGGGGACTTCAGGGCACTGGGGCAATTGATT